CTTTGTTACTATGTGATATTTTTAATTTTTGAAAGGTGAACTCAGGAATGTATTTGTTTTCTTCTTCTTTTTGTAGGGATTCCCAGTCGTAAAATAAACAACACAGTCAGATCCGCTGATTCTAGGAATGGACTTAATTCTACAGAAGGTGAAGCCCGGGGAAATGGTACACAGCCTGTTCTCTCTGGAACGGGAGAAGAAACTGTTAGGCTAGGTAAGCAGAGGTTACTGAAGTTGAAAAAGAAAAATATGTACGTTTTTGGTTCTAGGTGATATTGAGTAATTACTTTTAAAGATTTTTGCCTCATCTCGTTTTTTATCCAGATTTATCATTTATATCTTGGAAAGGTCTCATTTAACACTTAATTTTTATTTAAAATACTATGTAATCTTTTGTCTTTTCTGAATCTTTAGAACAGCATTGACAAAATTTATCTGGTAAGAGCCAGAAATTAAATATTTTAGACTTTGTGGGCCACACGTTCTCTGTCAGATCTACTCAACTTTGCCATTATAGCGTGAGCACATAATGGACAATATGTAAACAAGTAAGCATGGCTGAGTTCTAACAAAACTATTAACCAAAACAGGCAGAAAGCTGAAATTGGCCTGGGGGCTGTAATTTTCCAACCCCCAGTTTAGAATGTAAAATATTTCTTTTTCCAAAATCAACAGGATTTCCTGTGGATCCACGAAAGGTGCTAATAGTAGCTGGCCATCACAACTGGATTGTAGCTGCATATGCCCATTTTGCTGTGTGTTACAGGTAATGTATAATTAACAATGCTTTGCTTTTAGAGGTGGTAGTTTTAAAATTAATTGTGATTTTATATTTTTAGATTGAAAAGCTATCTTTTTTTAGTCATCAGGTTTTTTCCCTGCATATTTTACTCGTGTCTGTGTCATCTGATTAAGATTTAGTTTACTTTTATTTTTGCAGCTAATTTGGTAAATATTTCTGGTAGCCTTTTTGTGTTGTAAACATTTCGCAGACAAGTGTGGACTGTCATGAAACTGAGATATCTTGATGTATTATTTGTTGCTTATACCTAGCTTCTGAGACTGTAGTATATAATGACGTTAGACAGGATTATTAATGTGAGCTCCCTGATGGTCTATCTCTAATGATTCAGTGTTTTGTATTCTGTAGCAAGGGAGAGTACATTGGTCATAATTACCACATTTTGGGAAGTGAGGTAGTAAAGCAGGGCAGTTGTTGCACAAGTGGTATAGTTTAATATCTAATATGTGAAACTTACAAAGAAGTAGTTTGGTTTTACTAATGCTTACATTCTCAGAGCCTGAGAAGCAATGAAGAATAGTGTAGATCGGTTAATTTTTTTTTTTTTGGTTGGGACTCTTAGTTCAAAATCACTGTATTCATTGAGAAATGTTGATGACAGAGAATGGTGTAGAAGCACAAAAGTGGTTGGAATATACTAGCTTAGATTATAATTTCATTTAATTGCAGAAAAATCAAAGATATATAAACTATTTGTTTATCCCTGTTGAGTTCAGTTAAGAAAAAATAGTCACGATAAGTTGAAAAATATCTAAAATGTCTTCTAAACTTTACAGATATAGTTTAAAGAATCCCAGATGTATTTTTTTTTAATCTGAATTTATGAAAGGTTTGGCATGCCTGGTAGTGCTGTTTACATCAGTAATCTCAGGTTTATATTTTCCTTGTAGTAATGATTAAGTGCAGACTTTATGTTTTAAGAGTGTTTTGGCGGGGCGTGGTGGGTCACGCCTGTAATCCCAGCACTTTGGGAGGCCGAGGTGGGTGGAGTTGAAGATCAGCCTGACCAACATGGTGAAACCCCATCTGTACTGAAAATACAAAAATTAGCCAGGTGTGGTGATACATGCCTGTAATCCCATCTACTTGGGAGGCTGAGGCAGGAGAATCACTTGAACCCAGGAGGTGGGGGTTGCAGTGAGCTGAGATCTCACCGTTGTACTACAACCTGGGCAACAGATCAAGACTCCATCTCAATAAATAAGTAAATAAACTTTTTTTAAGAAAGAGTGTTTTGTGGATTTGTAATTTTAATTATGAAATAGCATGGAAATTTTTTTTTGCATAATTTTTTTGGGGATGGTTTTGTATGAGGCAAAGCTAATTTGGTAAAGGTATTTTTTTTAGAAAGCATTGTTTTGAATTTATCATCTTATGTATTTGAATTGGGATGACTTGTAGACTCTTGTTTACATATTATGTACGTATTTTTGCCGATAACGAATTCCAGAAGGATTGTGAAATGATAAGTGATCGAAGTGTAACAGCATAACTTTCTTTTTGTCATTGTACACAATACTGAAGATTGCTCTTTTCCAGAAACACCACATTATGACGCACAATTTAACTCACTGGGTAATAATTGTAAGCAGGATGATGCTATTACATTTTC